AACGCTACGTGCAGCATGGTTTGCGCTTTCAGGCAGGGTCTATGGACATAGCGGGTAAAGGGGCAGCCCTGCAATTGGCCCGCTGATTCCACTGCTGTCAGAAGAGCCCCCCCCCTACTCTTCCACGCTGGCCACTGCGTCCTGGAAGCGGTGGCAATAGCTAACGCTTTGCCCCACTGCACGCGACACACCGATTGTGCGGACCAACTAAGTGGGCAATACCCCCACTTACACCGCTGGGGTGGACACAGGCGGTGGAAGGGGTCGGTGGATCTCACCGTTTCAACCGCCGGGAGATGGCACTAAACCGGCGCGCGAACCGTCGCATTTTTGCACGGTCGTGGCAGCTTCCCAACGGGGACATTTGTGGCCGTGAAATGACGGGGCCGCTGCATGAAGCTGTTCGAAGCATGAGGCTTCAACATGGCCGAGCCAGCCCATTAATTGTACCGTTTGGGGCGATGCGTGAACTTTTCTAAGTGTCACTCCGAGAAGCCTACACAAGAACGTTAGCGGACTGATTTGCGGCAATTATTTTGGGTGCTAAAATCAAACAACTTCAAATAAAGGCACGGGGGCAGTTCCGTTATCGACACCGGGATGCGTTTGCCAGGCTGTCCAAAACCAGTTTGAAGCTTCAGAATAACCTATGAACCCACAGCCTCAACACTGACCCACAGCATCAACACTGACCCACAGCATCAACACTGACTCACAGCCTCAACACTGACCCACAGCCTCAACTCTGACCCACAGCCTCAACACTGACCCACAGCCTCAACCATGACCCACAGCCTTAACACTGACTCACAGCATCAACACTGATCCACATAGCCCCAACACTGACCCACAGCATCAACACTGACCCACAGCCTCGATACAGAGACTCAACTTTTGCTCAATTCCTTTCACCTCCATTGACCAGACTAAATTCCCACCATCCTGGGAGCCGCTCCACGCTAATCTCTGGAGCCCAGCGACGTTTAAAGCGGTGATGGCAGCGCGTGGTTTAGCAGCCAATGTCCAGAATGTGAGCGGCCGAATGGGCGTTCTTTCGTTTGCACCCAGCAGATCTCCACCACCGCAGCAGAGCCATCGCCCCGTGGACCGATGATGCAATACGACGGCATTGCGTCATTGGTCGGGGTTGGGTCTTTCCTTTGAGCAAGGCCCGCTCGGGTTTCTGTTCAGACCCGTCAGGACCAGGTTCCGCGAGCGCGTGTGCGTGGCGTGCGTGGCGCCGACCGTCGCAGCCAACGGTAGCGGCCTCTCCCTTTGATGTAAGGAATTGCAACAATGCGACGCTTATCTGCCACTCCGTCCGGTCTGCTTAGATCGTGGCAAACACTGGAAAAGTACCCAGCGATCCGGAGCCAGACAACTCGATCGAGTGACTCGGCGTTGGGGGCGGCACAGGGATGAGCGAGACCTCGGGATTTCAGCACGACCTGGCCGCCTCTTTCACCGACTTGCCGCTTGGGGCCGGAAAAACCCCCCCGAGTGCGGAGTGAGGCCACGGTCATCGACTTTCTGAAAGCTCAGGAAACTCTGGGGGCCGATTGTGGCGATTTGCATGTACGTACGGATGTTGAACTTAATTTCGCAACTTACTTAGCCAACTGCACGAATCGGAGGTGCGTGGAAAGAACAGCAATCTAGTACAAAAATAATTTTAAAATACGTTTATGAATCTAGATGATTTAAAAGTGCATTGCTCCAGTGGCTTCCTAATATCGGACGGAAGAGCGTTCCAGACGGTCGCAGAAGCGCATCTGAAAGTGTGCGATGCTGCGAGACCGTCTTTGTTCGATGGTGAGCCACAAGCCGCTGCTGCTGCGAGGCATGACCGGGGTTCGGCAAGATATCGTGCTTCATTGGTGGCAAGCACTTTGTGTGTAATGAGTGCGACCTTGCAACGTATTCGTTCGGCAACCGGAAGCCAATGCAGCTCGGCGAGCACTGGACGGATACGAGTTATCTGCCGCCTCGGCGCACGGCCTGCGAACCCCGTGAGCGCCTGATGTTGGGGTGCAATTTGCGCCAGCGCTGAAGCCATCCTCCCACAGAAACAAGCCTGGTTCAGGCCACAAAGAAGCTGCTGCTGCTGCTACTGTGGCTGCGATTGGGGGATCATGGCCCTTACAACAAATGCCGAAGCCGCATTTGAAACAAACAAACAAACAAAAATCTTAAGACTGGTGCCTCATTCGTCGACCTGTCTTGGGCCTACGATTCGGATCGGAAGCTCGAGGCCTGGTGCTGTGAAGCTGACGGAATCCTCCTGCCACACATCCCAATGCCACCGCCGATTTGGCCATCACAGATGCATTGCATCGATCTGGGCTCACCTTGCTCCCTTTGCTGTTTGTTTATTTATGGGTCAATTATCATTAATTATTATGTTCATCATCTATGGTACCTTTTTTGCCAATATCCAAAATGATGAAAAATAAGAATATGTTTTACCCTCTCTGGTAATAAAACAGGATTCGTGTTATAATGTTCAAACACCAAATAGAAACCTCTCGCGAGGAACGAAGTCGGCATTAACAACACGCACTTGTGGTGCAAACAAACATGCTCTGATAATGATATATATGCATTGTCTTTGAAACCAGAGACAGCCTTCTTTTGTGGTCTTGTCGGCACTAGTGTTAGACCAGAGGACGCCCAGCAGGCGAACAGTACAGAGACAAAAGGTATCATGTGTTTTGAACATCTTTAACACCTCTTTTATTGCCAGAAAGGGTAATACCTATTGTTATTTTTCATCATTATTATTGCTCCGCTTGTTTAGCCAGGACAACATCACAGAGTCTTAAGACAGTTTTGCAGGAGGGTCCTGCCAAGTTTTTGCTGCCATGCGTGATCCCAGTCGAGGAACCTGCGTGACATTTTGAAACGTTGGGAAGTTTGGGCCATTGCCGGTTCAATTGCGCGTTCATTCGTTCGTTCGTTTTATCTCTTGGCGGAAGCCTACAGGAAGAAACCCATTCACGGAGACAGCAGGAGAAACGTAGAAACTCCACGGAGAAACAGGGTGCCCGGGGCGGGAAACCCAGGCCTTCCTCGCTGCGATGCCACGCTTTCTCATGACCGCACCGCCCTGCCGCCCATCATTTTGAGACATTCTTCTTTTTACATTTTGGCGCGTCTTAGTCGTAGCAGGAGTAGGATTTCGCGACCGATATCCATTGTAAAGGTTTTTTTTAGGGTTAGATGACCGTGTAAATATTAATGTGTCGTCAAAACCCGCCACCACTCGACGCAGCCAATCAGTGAGGTTTGTCTCTTCCCCCACCATGTTATGCCCCGGAAGGTGATCAACCTTGGCAAGGGGTCGAACCCAGAAAAATGCTGCTCTCCGTGGGGGGGGTTAAATCCCGTGACAACACAAGGCTTTGGTGCCGCGGTGCCGCCGGTACCGCCATTGCCGTGCCGCGGTCAGCACCGTTAAAAGTTCACCCCTTCCGCGAATTGGCTGAAAGGGGGTCGCGATTCGGGGGGGGTTCAAGTGTATTTTTCGTTGAACCAGGCGAGAGGAACTCAGAGGCTATGAGGAGTCTCATTTGCAAGCGCGACCTGGGGCAGTGGGTCATGGCTCTGCTCGCGCATCGATTCCCCCTCCGCCACTGTGCGTGGCGCGTGCAGGATCTGCAGTCGGGACAGACGTATAGAATATGAAAGCGGAGTGAAGCTGTGGGCTCTTGTGCACCTCCGCCAGCTCCTGTATCACCCCACCGCTGCACAAGGGCCTCCGCACGCCATGTCAGTCACGTGGGTCGCTCGGCCATACTTCACCGCGTTGGCCAGCGCGTGTTTGTTGAAGCGGACGGGGCACACGGAACAGTTCAGGTGTCGTGCTCGCCGCCACTTTGTCCTGGCCGGGCATCAAATTCGTCTGTGCCAGGTTCATAACGCACGGCGCTAACAACCCCTTGCACGACCGCTCCCTCACACATCCTGCAGCGGTGGTCGCCTAACGCCTCACGCTGCTGGCACGGCAGCAAAAAATATATATACCGTAACTCACGTTTATAATAAATGTTTTTTTTGGGTTAGATTGCGTAAGTATAAATGTGTCGTTAACCCGCGACCACCCGACACAGCCAACCAGTAAAGGTTTGTCACGTCAACAGAACGTGCCCAAGTAGTTACTGGGTCAGCCCACCGGTGTGCTGGAGAGCAAACCCCATTGACGCATGCGACGTAATGCGCGTGAGACTCGTAAGCAGTCGATTGGTTCGCCCCCGATTCGATTCGTGATTTTGACGGGAGCGCAACGGTGGGCATTGAACCGGCGAACCCGAGAGCCGCGGCGTTGCGTGGATCGCGGTGCCGGCTCTGCGTGGCGTGGGTCGGGGCGAGCGGGCGCGTAATCAGGCCGTGAAATCTTGCCGTGCGCGCGCGCGTGAACTTCAGGAGCGGCTGGGTGTCTCACGAGAGCCGTTGATGACCGGTTCAGCCGGTGCTGCTGGGTTTGGATCGGGGCTACAGCCGCCCCTGATCAATACCCCCCCCCCCCCTCTGGGGTTCCCCAATGCAGCGAGGCGTTGGTGGAGTCAGTCCAGTCGTCAATGACTGAACCGAAGAAATACAAACAAAACATCCAGTTAAACGCGTTGAAGGTAACACATGAACGCAACACATTCAATTGCTGCAAAACACAATTAAGGCTTGCCAGAATTATGGGAAACACCCATAATTCCATGCAGGTGCGGTTTTACACCACACATTTATTGAGCACAGCGCCAAGTTGCTGTTTTCGCTTCGCGAAGGTCGACAAAAAACGCAGCGTGCCGTTTGGATCCTAGCAGCAAATGCTTTCGAGTGGATTGCCAGAACCACGTCTGGCTCGTCGAGCCCGGAGAGCCATCGCTGGCACCAGGGCTCCTCCAACGGACGGCGTCGGTGCCACGGAACGACTCCGCCCCCCCCCCTTCCGCCCCCAAGTCGCCGCGGTTGCCCCCCCCCCCCCACCTGTGACGAAGTCTCGATCTCTCCCGCTTGTCAGTGACTTCGATATTTCAGGCTTCGTGAATCCGGGAGAGTATTTAATGTCTACTGGTGGAATCCGATGAGCTAGCTGTAAACGGTACAAAAACACGATGTGGAGTGCGAAGTATAGGCAGGCTAAGTAAATCACTTTAAAATATACAAATAAAACTCGATTATTTGTTATCTTGCCAGGTAAAGCTCACCAAGCTATTGACTTATTTTTCAGAAGCGACCTGGCCACAAATAATAGCCTCAGCAAAGCTACTTGTCACGTGAAAATGTACAGCATCAAATTAATCAAACAAAAATCTCAATGCATGTTTCTAAATGTGGAAGGAAAAACCAGAGCGCTGAGATGTTTCTAGATTAATTACTTTACAAATGATTTTTAATCGCGGCTTCTTGAGTTGGAGAATCCATTCGGAAATCTCCCACTGCGTTTCGTCCGTTTGTCACAAGGCTGTCTTGGAAGAGAGTCTTCAGAGAAATTATTTAAAAAAATCCTTCAGGTGGCAAGTGCGTGCGTGCGTATGTTGGTTGAACGTCTTCCGCACTGTATATAGCCAACCGTGCTAATCGGAGGTGTGGGCAAAGGACAACAAACTAAACACGAAAAGCATTTTGAAAGGAATGAGTTTTCAATCTAGATGCTTTAAAAGTGCATGGCTGCAGCGGCTTCCTAGTATCGGAAGGAAGAGCATTCCACATGGCCGCAGAAGCCCATCTGACAGCGCCGCGATGCAGTGGCCGTCCTTGTTCGATGGCTATCCAAGGATGAAGGCGGTGCGTTAATCCTGTCCGCGACCGCTCCACCCGCTGCGTGCTAATGAGATGTGCGAACCCCGGCTAAACGGCATCGGCTCGTTGTTTCACAACCGTGGCGGGGGTGGCCCTGTGGTCGGAGCGTTTCACCCACAATCGCGAGGGCCGAGAGTTCACGCACCGATCGGTGGTCGACTCGACCGGGCATCGCCACCACCACCGGCAGGGTGAGCACGAGTTCAGCCGCACCACCTTGCCAGGAAGTCTACGGCGGTTGCCCCACGGAAGGACCCGCTCCCGCCGTCGGAATGTGGAGTGTTGACCGCGTGCACGGGACTGTCGCCGGTGACGAACTCCGCGGGGCGAGGCCGTGGCTCCCCGTCGGACGCGCAGCTCGACGCGACGGCTCCGTCGCCGCCACGCGACGACGACGATGACGACGCGACCTGAAGGGAAATGACTCGTGCAGCTGTCATCGTCTGGCGTGCGCGGTGCTTCGCACGCCGGACGCAACTCCGCAGACGGAGAGACAGAGAGACACCGTTGTGCTTGTGCGTGTGAGAGAGAGAGACGCACAGAGAGACATGGAGAGAGACTGAGAGAGACACACAGAGAGACATGGAGAGAGACTGAGAGAGACACACAGAGAGACATGGAGAGAGACTGAGAGAGACGCACAGAGAGACATGGAGAGAGACTGAGAGAGACACACAAGGAGGCACAGAGAGATACTGAGACAGAGACACACACAGAGAGAGCCTGAGACAGAGACACACAGATAGAGCCTGAGAGAGAGAGAGGCACACACACAGAGAGAGACTGAGACAGAGACACAGAGAGAGACTGAGAGAGAGACACAGAGAGAGACTGAGACAGAGACACACAGAGAGAGGCTGAGGCAGAGACACATAGAGAGACTGAGACGGAGACAGAGAGAGAAACTGAGACAGAGACACACAGAGAGACTGAGAGAGACACACACAGAGAGCCTGAGAAAGAGACACAGAGAGAGAGAGGCTGAGACAGAGACACACAGAGAGACTGAGAGAGAGACACACAGAGAGAGACTTAGACAGAGACACAGAGAGAGAGACTGAGACAGAGACACAGAGAGAGAGAGACAGAGACACAGAGAGACAGACAGAGAGAGCCTGAGACAGAGACACAGAGAGAGGCTGAGACAGAGACACATAGAGAGACTGAGACAGAGACAGACAGAAACTGAGACAGAGACACACAGAAAGACTGAGAGAGAGACAGACAGACAGAGAGAGCCTGAGAAGGAGATACATAGAGAGAGAGAGACTGAGAGAGAGACACACACAGAGAGCCTGAGAGAGAGAGAGAGACAGACAGAGCGATACTGAGAGAGAGAGACAGACAGAGAGACTGAGAGAGAGACAGAGAGAGAGCCTGGGACAGAGACAGAGAGAGAGAGAGAGAGCCTGAGACAGAGACACAGAGAGACTGAGAGATACACACAGAGAGAGACCGAGACAGAACCACAGAGAGAGGCTGAGACAGAGGCACGGAGATACGTGGGGTTGGGCCACTGGGAATTCACACAAAACCCCCCCACACACAAACACGACGCATTCCACTTTTTCAGCATCGCAGCGTTCCGCGACCTTTAAACCTTCGCCGCGCACGCGGCAGTGAGCGCCGGTACAGTCGGCACCGCGAGACCCGCGGGAGCGCAGCGCACGCTCGCGCCTCTTGAGCCGCCCCGTCGCTTCTCGTGCCGCTCCAACTCGGACGCCGCTCGCGCCGGATTGTCGCGCGTTCCGAGCTGCCGTCGGAGACGTCGCTTTCCGTGGAAAAAAATAAATTTAGCTGCCGGATACCCGGACCTACGGTGGTGGTGGTGGTGGTGGGGGGGGCAACGACCCTCTTCTGAGCGGCCCTCGACGATTTTCCGAGATTATTATTAATTTTATTAGATTTTATTTTAATTCGTGGTCCCGCTTTGCGGCGGCCGTGGACAACTCGAGAGCGCTCCCCGCCGCCCGGGAAAGGAGGAGGAGGAGTGAGCGGCCCCCCAACTCGTCGACGCGCTCCACACGCGAGCCTCCGACGCGGAAGCCTCCGGCCATGGAGAGATACTGGTCCTTCTCCTCGCACTATGGTGAGGAGGGCACGTTTGTTCGTCGCTCCGTCTGTGTGTGTGTGTCGGGGGGGGGGGGGGGGGCGGGAGTGGTCGCACAGTCGTTCGGCGAGCGCAACACTACCATCGCGTTCGGGCGCCACGGTGGCGAGGAGATATTAACTCCCTCGCCTGATGTACAGGAGGTCGTGGATTCGATCCCGACCCTGACGCCTGCTGTTGTATATTTGGCGTCTGCATGTTCTCTCTCGCTCTCCCTGTAGTCGCGTGGATTTTTTTCCGTTCCTTCGGTTTAGAGTATTAAGCCACGATACATTTCCACACGATGATAAGCCACTTCGTTGAACGATCAATTGTGGCCATGTTCCTTCTGGAAAAAGAGCTCTGTCGCTCAGTGGGGCCTCCTTACCCTGGTAAAAGAAAAACATTGTTTAGTTTAATAATTTCAATAGTTAAACTTGGGTTCGTTCCCACCCGTGTGACGATCCTCGCCTTGCGAGTGACACGTGAACTTATCCCCGGGGCCTTCCGCCAGTTGACTTTGCAGTGAGAACGGCGGCCGCTCCGCTGCAGCGTGTGGACACCTTCACCATTAACAGGTGCCTGCTAACAAAAGCGGAATAACAAGCGCAGCACATCGGTCTGCATGTGGTGCCGGTCTCATCCGCGGTGACTGACCCGGCCCGACGGATGCTCATGAACGTCGCGAACCCGAGGCAGTCTGCCGAGGCTGGCGTGGTACTTGGTTGTCTGTGCACGTATAAGGTGTGCTCATATCCAGCGTCTAGCGCGGTACTTTCCGTTGTGATATTGAGAGAAATTGGCGATGCTTTGACGCCGCGGTCACGGTTCGATGCGGCCCACGCGCCAACCGGGACACCGCTGACGCGGCCGCTGCGTCAAAACGGGCGGTCTCTTTTTATTTTTATTGTCACAGCCGCATTTTCTGGGAAGCGGAGTCAACGCTTGTCTTTTTTTGGGGGGGCTTGAGAGAGATCCGGTGCCGTCATGGCAATGTGGAATCGCCACCAGCTGGCTCGGAGGAGGTGGGCGCTGCCCCCATGGCTCGTAGGGGGCATGGAGACGCTCCGGGTTGAACGCTTTTCTCATTCCGTTTTCACCACGAGCCTCTGGCCCGCAACGAGCACTTGAATCGAGTGTTTACATTGACACTGTGGTCATCGACAACAGCGGTGAAAGTTTGCTTCCGTGCATTTCTAAAATAATTATTAAGAACTGGATTTCAGGCACTGAGCTCGTCTGGAACGCTTCTTCCGATATTACAAAGCCGCTGCATTTTTAAATCATCTATAGATCGACATACCCATTTATTTACAACTCCTTTTTGTGTTTAGTTTGTTGTCCTTCCCCCTCCCCCCGTACCTCCGATGAGCGGTGGTTGGCTACGTACGGTGCGAAGGAAGTTCAACATACATACATAGACTCACACAGAGACCCATAGACTAACACAGAGACCCATAGACTCACAGAGACCCATAAACTCACACAGAGACTCATCGTGTGTTGTCCTTCCCCCGCACCTCCGATTAGCGCGGTTGGCTACGTACGGTGTGAAAAAAGTCGAACATACATACATATACGGAAAAAACAAGTAGATGAGAGGCTGGATCGAAGCACACACCCCCCCCCCCCTTGGGAGCGTGGCCAGCTGCGCTTCTATCAGCAACAGTGTGCCTGTATCAGAAGCCAGTGTCTTGTAAGCCGGTGTTGCCTTAATCCGAACTGTGCTTATGTGGACAATAGTATGGTAACATGAGTCTCCCAACTATTCTCCATTCTGTGTCTCTGGCCTCTCTGCGTGCGTGCTGCTAAGATGGGTCATTGCTCAATATTATATTGTTTTCCGTCGAAGGCCACATGGTGTTATTTACTAATGTTTTAATAGTTATTTGTGCATATATAAGGTGTGCTTATATCCAGCGTCTAGCGTAGTACTTTCCGTTGTGATATTGTTAGAAAGGGGCCAGGGTCTCTGGTGGCAGAGTTAAACTCGGAGTCGGGTTGTCGCGAGTTCAATCCCTGGGCAAGAGTTGAACAACTCATTATCATCATCGTCATCACACCTCTGGGGTTACAAGATTATGTTTCTCGGGAACAATGGCAATGTGATTCAATAGCTAAATGCCGATGTCGAGGTCTACTCACTAGCACGGGAGGACTTCAGGAGTGAGTTTGTGTCGCTTTGCTATTCCTCCTCCGTCGAAGGAGCACAGACATTACAGTGGTCTAGTCTGTGGTCCATAGTGTGCGGTCTGCATCGTCACAATTGCACTGCTGTGGAGATGTTCGCATCGGCCTGTTGACGACGCTCCGATGAGGTTGATGGTCACACCACCGGTGTCTTCGATGAGGAGGAAGGAGGAATTTCAAAGCCAGGAGGCGCCTCGATTTTTGGGTCTCGAGCAGGGGCATTTATTCTGGGGCCGTCCGCCGTGGGCTCCGTGGACTCCGTTGGGTGGGAGACGGCAGCCCCCCTCTCGCGATGAGCCCCCATCGCGTCACCTTGAATGCTGCCGCCGTGTCGGCGAAACGGACGTCGTGAACTCGAGCCGAGGTACGGTCGGTGGAATGAAACTGGGGAGCATTGTTCGCCGGTGGCCCCACAACGCACGGTGGCCTCGCGCGCGAACGGCGAGTCACAGAGCAGTCCCCTTTGGCTTCGCGTTTCAAATCGCGGAGCGGCATCGGGTGAGACCTCTCGACGTTGAATTTCTCTCTCGCCGCACGTAAGCCAACCGTGCTAATCGGAGAGGTGCGGGGGACAACAACTGACGTGCACACGTGGCCGTCCCGGAGGCCATCGAGTAGGTCCGGATGGAAATATTCAAACTGCTGATCGGCTTAATGTAGCCGCCACGCAGGAACGACACGCGAGTACCACGTGGCGGGACGGCGATCGTGCCGTGGACTGGGGGGGATCGTGGCACTTCCCACCACTTGTGTCGAGTGAAGGCAACGTGTTGTGGGTGTCTCTCCTGGCCACATCACAAACTACTGGGGTGGGTGGGGTGAGGGTGCCCGGACCCCCACGACACCCCCCCAACGGCCACGTCCCCTCCCTGCCGCCCTGGCCGTGGCGCTGCGGGCGGCGACTGCTCCGTGGAGAGAAGCTCGCCGTGCGCTCGTTCTGGGGATTGTGCCGAGTGACCCCCCCTCACCCTCCCCCCATCGGTGCGGGTTATTGGGGGGGGGGGGGGCGGCCGCAGCGACTCGTGTGGGTGGTTTTGTGGGACAACGCTGCAGGCTGCAGCGCGTGGTGGTGGTGGTGGTGGCGGCGCCACTGCAGCTCCACGGGGATCCAGCGGGGTGCAATGCGGCCCCAAGCGCCGTCTCGGGGCTCTCCGGACACCCCGAAGACCCGGAACGACTAGTTACTGGCAGAACGACTTGTTACTGGCGGAACGACTTGTTACTGGCGGAACGAATTGTTACTGGCGGAACGAGTTGTTACTGGCGGAACAACTTGTTACTAGCGGAACGAGTTGTTACTGGCGGAACGACTTGTTACTAGCGGAACAACTTGATACTGGCGGAACGACTTGTTACTGAAGGAATGACTTGTTACTGGCAGAGCGACTTGTTACTGGCGGAACGACTTGTTACTGGCGGAACGACTTGTTACTGGCGGAACGACTTGTTACTAGCAGAACGAGTTGTTACTAGCAGACCGACTTGTTACTAGCGGAACGAGTTGTTACTAGCAGACCGACTTGTTACTAGCGGAATGACTTACTAGCAGAACATCTTACTAGCGGAACGACTTGTCACTAGCGGAACGAGTTGTTACTAGCAGACCGACTTGTTACTAGCGCAACGACTTACTAGCGGAACGTCTTACTAGCGGAACGACTTGTCACTAGCGGAATGAGTTGTTACTGGCGGAACGAGTTGTTACTAGCGCAACGACTTACTAGCGGAACGTCTTACTAGCGGAACGACTTGTCACTAGCGGAATGAGTTGTTACTAGCAGACCGACTTGTTACTAGCGCAACGACTTACTAGCGGAACGTCTTACTAGCGGAACGACTTGTCACTAGCGGAATGAGTTGTTACTGGCGGAACGAGTTGTTACTAGCGGACCGACTTGTTACTAGCGGAACGACTTACTAGCGGAACGACTTGTCACTAGCGGAACGACTTGTCACTAGCGGAAATGACTTACTAGCAGAACATCTTACTAGTAGAACGACTTACTAGCGGAACGACTTGTCACTAGCAGAACGACTTACTAGCAGAACGTCTTACTAGTGGAACGTCTTACTAGCAGAACGACTTACTAGTGGAACGAGTTGTTACTAGCGGAACGAGTTGTTACTGGCGGAACGACTTACTAGCGAAGCCCGAGCCAAGTTATGAAAGAATACGTAAAACGGGTGTCGTTCCGAAGGGCTTAACGGCGTGCGCTGAACGCACGCATTCGTGGCGGGCTGGGACTCGT